AATCTAGGAGTCCAACCATGCAGTTGACCATGAGGGATCTACCTGCTTTAACACCACGCCACCAACTGGTTCTTTTGCTCTTATAAAAAAATTTCTTCCATGTGGGAGAGAGACAGGTAGTATCCTCATACTGCAATCCAGTTTCGGTCTCGGCAACCCAGATCATTACTGCATGAGCACACCCAGCATGCTCAGGGCGGCCTGTGGGTTTGAAGCAAGGATCTTCCCATGTGTGACCTGTTGTGCTACCACTGTGCACCTCCTTTTATCCCTTTACAAATTGTTTTTCAGTTATTAAACTTTATTCTCTGTAGAATAATACTTTTCATACTTCTTGAGTATATATAGTTACTCAGAATTTCTTTTGGGGGGATCCTGGTAGGTGACTTGGTTAAAGATGCTGAACTCCCACATGGTTTAAGTCTCAGACCTGGTAATTTGTGTTCTCTTTGGTTTTGGTTGAAATGGAAAAATAATGATAATAAATGATTCTTTAAAAAAAAAAAAGTTTCTTTTTTGGGGACCAATAGGTGGTGTGGTAGTTAAGACACTAGACTCATACATAGAGTCCTAGATCTGGCAGCTTGCTTTCTCGCTTTTTCTTTATCTCTTGGTGATCACACATGTCCTGTAGCAAATTAAAATAATAGTAATAATAACATTAAGTAATTCTTTCAACTTTTATTTTGTTTCATTTTGGCTGTAGGGCACCCGTGCTCAGGGAGGGGAGAGAGAGAAAGCACTCCCTAGGAAGAAAACACACCACAGCCCTTTCTCTGTTCTCTCCAGATTTGGGTCATGCACATGCACGTGGAGTGTTATTTCAACCTTCCGGGTCTGGAACTCAGTCTGCACAGTCAGTTCTGTGGGATCCAGCTGCCTTAACCACCATGCCACCACTTGGCCCTATTGTTGAATTTTAAAAGTTCTTTGTATATTTTTTATATTAGCTCCTATCATTTATGTGTTTTGCAGATTTTTCTTTCAGCCTATGTCTTGTCTTTTCGTTTTCTCTCTCTTTCTGCTTGTGTGATCCTCAGTTACGTACCTCCTCTCCTCAGCAAACATGTCTAGTCACACCCTTGGTAGTCTCTACAGAATGTACTTCCTCACTCTGACAGTCTGGATAGGCAGATTTTCCAAATCTTTCAGTTCTGGTTCCTTTTTGTTTAATATTTCTTTTCTCAATTATGTCTTTCTTTTTGCATCTTACTGTAAGCAGCAAGGAAAAAACAGCCTGTTCCTTCCACATTTTGCTTAGAAATCTCTGAAACTTGAATATCCAAATTACTACTTAATGGTTCTTACCTTTCACCCAACAGAATATAATTCTGCTAAGATTTTGGCTACTTTGTTTTATTTTTTAATTTGCTATAGAGCATGTGTACTCTCCAGAGAGAGAAAGCACCCCTCCCCTCCAGAAAATGGCCATGCCACAATCCTTTCTCCTCCATTATCATCTTGGAATTTTGGATGCATGTGCACACATGCCTGGGCCTGTTTTTTTTTTTTGGCTATAGGGAATGTGTGCTTGCAAGAAAGACAGAAAGAGACAGAAAGCAAGAAGTCACCCCCCAGCGGGGATGGCCACACCACATTCCCATCTCCATTCTCCTCTCAGGATCTTGGGCACGTATGCACACGCACCTGGTGTGAGTTTAAGCCACTGGGTCTGGGACTCGAAGCACGGTTGACTGCATGGGCGTCCAGTGACATAGCCATTACACTAACTGCTGGTCCCCCTGGGGTCTTTTAAGTTGCCAAGTCTAGGGCTCAAACCATGCAGTTGTCTGTGAGGGATCCAGCCATCTTAACTATTGTGCCTCAGCTACTTTATAAAAATTAACCTTTCATCCAGTTTTCAATGTGTTCTTCATTTCTTCTGACTGAGGCCTCACCAAAAGCACCTTTAATGTTCATGTTTCATTCCTTTTATATTTGGTATATGATGTGTGCACTTGTCAGAGATGGGATGCTAGCCTCTCCTGGGGGAATGGCCATGTCACAATCCCTTCTCCAAGCTTCTCTCGATATTTTGGGCAATCACACACATGCCTAGTTTTTATTAAGAGATTTTTCTAAGGGCATATGTGCTTGCTGGAGAGACAGAGGCAGAGAAACAAGAAGTCACCCATCCCCAGGGGGGATGGCCAGGTCAGTCCCTTCTCCATTCTCCTTTCAGGATTTTGGGCACACACGCACAGGTTCCCAGCATGAGTTTTAAGCCACCAGTCCAGGACTTGAACTGTGGTCAGCCACATAGGAATCCAGCAACGTGGTTATTATGCCATGTACTGGTCCCACACCCAGTTTTTATTTCCCCTTCCCTCCCTTCCCCTCCCCTCCTTTCCCTTCCCTTCCCCTCTCCCTCTCTATCCCCCTCTCTCTCCCCCTCCTTCTCCCTCTCCCTCTCTCTCCCATCCTCTACCACCCCACCCAGAGAAAGAGAGAGAAAGTGAGAAAGCAGACTGCCAGGTTTGAGACTTGAACTGTGGTCAGCCATGTAGGAGTCCAGCATCTTTAACCACCATGCCACTGCCAGGCCCTCGGTATGATTTTTGTGTATGTGTGTTTTTTTTTTTTAAGAATTATTAAACTAACTAACTTTCTCTCTCTCTCTTTCTATATATATATATATATCCAGAGAGGGACAGAGTAAGAGAGTGTGAGTTAGAAAGTAAGCCACCAGGTCCGGTCCAGGATTCAAACTGCAGTCGGCCATGTGGGAGTCCAGCACCCTTAACCACCATGCCACCTGCCGGCTCCACTCCTCAGTATGTTTTTTAAGTCATCAGATCCAGGACTCGAGCCATGCAGTGGGCCATACAGAATCCAGCCAGCTTAACCACTACCTCCAGGCTAGCCCAGTCAGTGTTCATATATCTAGCAGCAATTTTTTCCAAGCTTTTTCTGTCACACACCTCAAAACTCTTTCAGCCTGTACCCATGACCCAGTTCCAAAACTGCATTCACATTTTGTTTTTTACAGCAGCATCTACTTCCTGGTATACATTTTGTAATGGAAATATCATAATTGTTAAAAACATCCCCCAGTTTGTGAACTTTTAAGTTTCTGGTTGTTGTTTATTGTTAGAAATAAGATTGTGATGACCTTCCTTGATTGTTAATATCTTAACTATTTGTCAAATATCTTTAGATTAGTGAATTGTAGAGATGGAATCATTGAGTCAAAGGGCATATACATTTTACAATAACATGTGTAGTAGGCTCTTACTCCTAACCTAGGTTGTTGACTTCAAGGGTGGTTTTAATCATGGCATAGTCCTGAATTAGGAATTATTAGCACACAAGATGAATTTGGTTTAATTGATTTTAAGATGTATAGATCAGTGTTTCTGGGGCCACCAGGTAGCGTGGTGGTTAAGGTGCTGGAAACTCCCACATGGCCGACCACAGTTTGAGTCCTAGACTTGGTGGCTTGCTTTCTCCCTCCCCCCCCCCATCTCTTTCTCTCTGGTCAAATTAAAATGAGTGAATGAATAAATTAAATAAATAATTCTTTTTAAAAAATATGTAGGTCAGTGTTTCTGGAACTTGGTCTTCTGGCATTTGAATTTGTAGAAACCTCTTCTGTATTGTGTGTGTTCTTGGTATGTGTTTTTGTACACGCTTCCTTGAACATTTTGGTGTGGGGGGACCAGCAGTTAGCATAATAACTATGTTGCTGGACTCCCACATAGTCGACCGCGGTTCGAGTCCCGGACCCGGTGGCTTAAACTCACGCCGGGCGCGTGTGCGTACGTGCCCAAGATCCCGAGAGGAGAATGGAGGAGAAGGGATTGCGGCGTGGCCATCCCCCCTGGGGGGCGATTTCCTGCTTTCTATCTCTCTGTCTGTCTCTGTCTGTCTGGCGAGCGCACGCGCCCTATAGCAAAAACCTCTCAAAAAAAAAAAAAAAAAATTTTGGTGTGGGGACCAGGGTATGACAGAGACTAATGGGAAAGATAGTGGGTGGTTTTGTTGAATCACATTTTTATTGAAAAGAGTCCTAGAGACATCATTTGTAATTAGTGTGCAACTCTTTAGCCACCTTCATTAGATAAGCTAGCTCCATAAAAGTTTTCAAAGGTTGTCTTACCAATTCTCACTAAACAGGGTTTTTCCCTACCTAGTAACCTAGCTTTTAAGAATTATTTTAATTTAATTTTATTCCTTCATTTATTTTGATTTGACCAGAGAGAGAGATGCAGAATGAGAGAGAGGAGAGAAAGTGAGAAAGTAAGCCACAAGGTCCAGGACTCCAACCATGGTTGACCATGTGAGAGTGTCTAGTGCTTTAAATGCCACACCACCTGCTGGTCCCCATCCTAATGACATAATTTTGAAATAACAAAAACACCTAATTTGTCAAAAATGTAGATTTAGTATGAATCTTGTGTAAAGTTAACTTGTCTCATTAATAATCTAAAATGTCAGTCATTTACATAGCAGTGCTTGTTTAGTTATACGCTGCAGCTGTGTAATATACTAGAGAATACAAAAGAAAGGATATGGCTATCCTTAACAAAACTTTTTTTTTTTTTGAGAGGTTTTTGCTATAGGGCGCGTGCACTCGCCAGACAGACAGAGAGAGACAGAGAGATAGAAAGCGAGAAATCCCAGGGGGTAGAGATAGAAAGCGAGAAATCACCCCCCAGGGGGTATGGCCATGCCACAATCCCTTCTCCTCCATTCTCCTCTCGGGATCTCCTCTCTCCCGGCGTGAGTTTAAGCCACCGGGTCCGGGACGCGAACCGCGGTCAACTACATGGGAGTCCAGCGACATAGCCATTACACTAACTGCTGGTCCCAAAACTTTTACATTGTAAATGGGGAAAGTACAACATTCACAGTCCTCGAGTTTATAAAGCTCTGTATAGGCAAGCACACATTAGTGTATTTAAAATTTGGTTTTAACAATGTAATCTCATTAGTGGTTTGGAGGAAGAAGTTGCAAGAATTTACCTGAAATACTTTAATTCCTTGTCTCTTTCTCTCAGGATTACATTTTAAAGACGATTTCTGTGATTGTCATTTGGAAGATTAAACTCATTTCAAGAGGTCCTGGAGCTGATACTCACCGTGAGGAAGCAGTGGCTTATTTCAGGAAGTCACGTCCGATCTAAGAATCTACGCAGCATGCCTAATCAAGGAGAAGACTGCTATTTTTTTTTCTATTCTACATGTACCAAAGTAAGAATTGACACGTCTAAATCAGTTCTACTCTACAGTTTCCTTAATATAGTTAGATAAGATTTTCCCAACATTCTGAATTTTTTTTTTCATTTGCTCAATTAGTTATTATTTGCCATCAATTTTTTTCTTAGTAAATGATAGCATTCTTAGATAATTCATTATTCATTTTCTTCTTTGTTTTATATAAAATATGTTCTTTTGTTTGTTTGTTTGTTTGTTTGTTTGGGGAGGTTTTAGGTGTAGGGTGCTTGCGCTTGCCAGAAAGACAGAGATGGAAAGCGAGAAATCACTCCTTGGGGGGATGGCCACACCGCAATCCCTTCTCCATTCTCCTCTTGGGATTTTGGGCACGCAAGCTCACGTGCCTTGTGTGAGTTGAAGCCACTGGGTCCGGGACTCGAACTGTGGTCGACTACATGGGAGTCCAGCAACACAGCCATTATGCTGACTGCTGATCCCCAAATGAGTTTTTTTCATGCTCTAGAAAGAAGAAAAGGCTCATGGCATATAGTTAGCATTCACTGTTTGGTTATTTATAATTAACCTGTTCAGAGTGCCTTCAGAATTGGGGACACTTTGATCTGTGCCTCGCCCACTTTGACTTTATTTATTTTGTATTAACTAAGTAGGTGGATGGTATGATATTTCTAGAAACTGTCATGAATTGATTTTGACTTACACCCGATTTTCTGCTGAGTACTAAGAATATAAAGCCATCTTCTAAAATATGCTTTTGTAACTTTCATGCTTTATCTTTGTCAAAACTTCCTGTTTCTCTGCTCAATTTTTCACCCCTTTAGCTGCTGTTTTGTGTTATTTATGACTAGTTTTATAAATTTGTATGTTATTGTGAAATCTTTTTCTTAAATCTTGATGCTTTGTTTAAAATGATTAGTTTTAAGCAAAGGTTGATGATTTTATCTTACATATGAGAGTTTACACAACAATAGCATTTTGTTTCACATATTACCAACATATAATGTATATAGTGGAACATAATGATATTCAAGTCCTATTCTCTTATTTTCTCATGTTCTGTCAGAAGCTAGAGTTGGGACCAGCTGATGGTGTAATGGCTACATCGCTGGACTCCCACATAATTAACTGCGGTTCAAGTCCCAGACCCAGTGGCTTAAACTCATGCTGGGTGCATGTGCGTATGTGCCCAAGAACCTGAGAGGAGAATGGAGGACAAGGGATTGTGGCATGGCCATCCTCCCTGGGGGATGATTTCTCACTTTCTGTCAGTCTGTCTCTCTGTCTTTCTGGTGAGCACACGTGCCCTCTTCAAAAAAAAAAATTTTAAAAAGCTAGAGTTGCACAAGTCAGGATACATGAAATAGTCTTGAAGATGAACCACAAAGCATACTTTTAAAGAGTACCTCATATTCTTGTCTTTTTCAACTCCATCTCTCAGCTTGTTTCACTTATGTTACCATATCAGATGAAAGGCACTGTCAAGAAATAGGCGATAGGAACTTACACCTTTGCCCTCAGATCACTCTTTTTATCCTATCTCAGTTTTTCTGTTTTTTATTTTTTGTGTTTTTTTTAGGTTTTTGCCATATGGCGTGTGCATTCACTTGAGAGAAACAATGAGAAATCACTCTGCAATCCCTTCTACTCCATTCTCCTCTCGGAATTTTGGGCACACAAGCCTAGCGTGATTTTTAAGCTGCCAGGTCCAGAACTCAAACCATGGTTGGCCCTGTGGAGTCGAGCACCTTAACCACCGTACCACCTGCTTGCCCCCTTCCCCATCTCAGTTGTTTTCTACCTTGCCTGTCTTTTCTTACCCGTTTGTCCATGTCTGGATTCCAGGAAACTTGTGGAAGTTTTGTCTGGGGTGTTCACAAGGCCTTTTATGAGCGAGCACATGTTAATATAATTTAAAAATTAAAGCATTTCAGTGCTACAATTTTTTGTGTTCTCTTTTTGCTTATAGGGTGACAGCTGCCCATTCCGTCACTGTGAAGCTGCACCAGGAAATGAAACTGTTTGCACATTATGGCAAGAAGGGCGCTGTTTTCGACAGGTGTGCAGGTTTCGGCACATGGAGATTGATGTGAGTTTTCAGTTTGCATGGATGGGGTCATGGTGGGACAGTAAAAAACAAGGGACAAAAGTCACATTTAGTTTTATTTATGGCGATACTTCAAAAAACAAAAGCCCGTGGAGAAGTATGAATTTATTTTGGCACAAAAAATTTTCATAATTTTTTATAATATGCATTCTTTTTTTTTTTTTTTTTTGGAGAGATTTTCACTGCAGGGCGCGTGCGCTCGCCAGACAGAGAGAGACATAGAGACAGAAAGCGTGAAATCACCCCCCAGGGGGGATGGTCACGCCGCAATCCCTTCTCCTCCATTCTCCTCTCGGGATCCTGGGCACGCACGCACACGCCCCCGGTGTGAGTTTTAAGCCACCGGGTCCGGGACACGAACCGCGGTCGACTACGTGGGAGTCCAGCGACATAGCCATTACGCTAACTGCTGGTTCCCATAATATGCATTCTTTATGAACTTTTTGAAGACGCTTCATGTTATAGCAGTGGGCCTATATATTTTTCTAGTGATCTATTGAAATTTTTGACATTAATGTTCACTTAATATCTAAATGTTATGTACATAATTGGCATAATTTTTCTGGAAGGTACCTTAATAATACATCTAAGCTTAAAATTACGTACATATATTTGGGGAGTATTTATCTTCTAAGTCATCTAGGTGCAAATTACTGACATTGCCTCTCACCCTTAGTACTTTATTGCCTTCTAACAAGGACATTTTTCTACATTATTGTAATATAACCATCAAAACTAGAAAGTTAGCATTAATACATATATGTTTTTAGAATTATTTAATTTTATTTATTTATTCATTTATTTTAATTTGACCGCGCACACACGCGTGCACGCGCACACACACACACACACACAGTGAGCAAGCAAGCCACCAGGTCCGAGACTCAAACCATGTGACAGCGTCCAGCACCTTAACCACCAAACCCTCTTAGTACTCAACATTAATATATTTAATGCTCCTTTTTCTTTAGAAAATTTTTATTTTAATTTATTTTTCTTTTCTTTTCTTTTCTTTTTTTTTTTTTTGAGAGGTTTTTGCTGTAGGGCACGTGCACTCGCCAGACAGACAGAGAGACAGAAAGCGAGAAATCACCCCCTAGGGAGGATGGCCACGCCACAATCCCTTCTCCTCCTTTCTCCTCTCAGGATCTTGGGCACATGTGCCCGGCGTGAGTTTAAGCCACTGGGTCCGGGACTCAAACCACAGTCGACTATGTGGGAGTCCAGTGACATAGCCATTACGCTAACTGCTGGTCCCTATTTATTTTCTATACGGTATTTGTGCTCACCAGAGAGAAAGGAAGTAAGAAAGCAAGCTACCAGGTCTGGGACTTGAACTATGGTAGGTCATGTGGAAGTCCATTGCCTTAACACCCATGCCACCTGATGGCCTCTTTAATGCTCCCTTTAATGCTTAGATCCTATTGAAGTTTTGCCAGTTGTCTCAATAATTTCCTTTATTATAGAATGAGCAAATTTTTTTTTATTATAGAATGAGCAAGTCCACATTCAGATAATACATACAGTTTTTTCATATTATTGTTTTATGTGTTTTTGTTTTGTTTTGTTTTGCGAGATTTTCACTATAGGGCATGTGCACTCACCAGAAAGAGAGAGACAGGTAGAGAAAGTGATAAATCACCTCCCCAGAAAGGATGGCCACAATACAGTCCCTTCCTTTTGGGATTTTGGGCATACAACGCAGACACACCTGGTGTATTTCAAGCCACCAGATCTGGGACTTGAACCACATTCGGCCATGTGTCAGTCCAGCACTTTAACCACTGTGCCATCTACTGACCATGTTTTAATGACTGTTAAGTTTCCTTTGTCTGAGAGCAGTTGCTCAGTCTTTGCTTGCCTTTCATTGGCCTTGATACTTTGGGCAGTTGCAGGCCAATTATTTTGCAGAATCTCCCTTAATTTGGGTTTGTTTGTATCTCCTCATTACTTAATTAAGATTGTTGTGTAATTTTCCTATTACTGGTAATACTAACTTTGATCTCTTGATTGTGTTGGTGTGTGCCTGATTGCTTCACTATGAAGCTTTCCTTTTAATTATATTTAGGAGAAATATTTTGAGATCCTGTATGTACCCCATTTCTCATCAACCTTTCAATTTTTTTTCCCCAGTATTTACTTACATTAGCATGAACTCATGATTTTCTTTTTTATTCTGTACGTTTTACTTCATAGTACTGTTCATTTTTATATTTAAATTGGCCCAGATCTGGCCTGTATGAACTGATTTTGTGTTCTTTTGAGGATTTTTATCATTCTGTTTGCTTTTTGGTCTAACCGGATTTTCTGGGTTCATCCTGTACTTTTCCTACTCCAGCCTTGGAATCCAGCCCTTTTTCCAAGGTTTAGTGATTTTTTTTAGTGAAGAATGGTATATAAAAACTAAGGTTTGGGAGTCTTCTGGAGTGTCATTGCTTCCAGGTTCTCTCAGTGGACAAAGCTAGGGAATATGTAAAGGTATATACATACATTTATGTCATTACTACTTTGTATCTGTTTTTTTTTCCCTTTCTTTAATTTATTATTTTTATGATTATTTTTTAATTTGCTATAGAGGGCACATGTACCCACCAGAGAGAAAGAAAGAGAGGGAGGGACCAACAGATAGCATAGCAGTTACATCTCTAGACTTCCACATGGCTGACCAAGTGACTTGAAAATCACACAGGGCACATGTGCATATGCATCCAAAATCCTGAGAGGAGAATGCAGGAGAAGGGATTGTGACACAGCCATATCCCCTGAGGGTGATTTCTCACTTCCCCTTTAACCATCTCTGTCTCTGTCCCTCTAGCTAGTTCACATGCCCTCAGGTAAAGAAAGTAAGCCGCCAGGCCTGGAACTCAGACCACAGTCAGCCATGTGGGGGTTTAGCACTTAACCATCATGCCACCTGCTGGCCCTGTGTATTTTTTTTTTTTTTTAAGAGAGATTTTCACTGTAGGGCGCGTGCGCTCGCCAGACAGAGAGAGACATAGAGACAGAAAGCGAGAAATCACCCCCCAGGGGGGGGTGTCACGCCGCAATCCCTTCTCCTCCATTCTCCTCTCAGGATCTTGGGCACGCACGCACACGCGCCCGGCGTGAGTTTTAAGCCACCGGGTCCGGGACACGAACCACGGTCGACTACGTGGGAGTCCAGCGACATAGCCATTACGCTATCTGCTGGTTCCCAACCCTGTGTATATTTTGAAAATCATGAGTTCAGTTTACCAGTACCATAGAATTTACCCTAGCCTTCATCTTTTCCATGCCTTAAACTCTGTTCTTCAAAAGTTAGCTACTGGTTTCCATTGTTTTGTTTTGCTTTTGTTTTAACTTTTTGGCAATAGGGCACATGTACTTACCAGGGAGAGACGGTGAAAGGGAAAGTGAGAAATCACCCCCCTCAAGGAAGGCCACACTGCAGTCCCTTCTCCTCCTGGCAATTTGGACACGCACATACATGCGCTGGTTGTAATTTTCAGGCTCTAAGGTCCAGGACTGGAACCATGGTCAGCCATGTGGGAATCCAGTGCCTTGACCACTATACTAAAACAGTGGCCTCCCCATTGCTCTAAATACTTACATTTATTTGATCAGTCCCCTAGTATCCATACTTTGTATTATATCACAGCTCTTTCCTTTTTTCATGCTCTGATACTACACATGAGACTCCCCATCCACAAAGGCACCTTTCTTTCTTTCCTTTTTTTTTTTAAGAATTATTTATTTAAGGGCTGGCAGATAGTGTGGTTGTTAAAGGTACTGGATTCCCACATGGCTGATCATGGTTGAAGTCCCTGATCTGGCGTCATACTTTTCTCATTTTCTTCCCCTCCCCACCAATCAAATGAAAATAAATTAAGTTTAAAAAATTCTTCTAAAAATTATTTATTTAATTTTATTTATTATTTTTAAGAGATCTATTCATTTATTTTAATTTAATTTGACCAGAGGGAAAAAAGGGAAAGTGAGAAAGCAAGCTGCCAGGTCCAGGACTCAAACCACGGTCAGCCATGTGGGAGTCCTGCACTTTAACCACTGTGCCACCTGCCAGCCCCTACTCATTTATTTTAATTTGACCAGAAAGAGACACACACAGAGAGGGGAAAAGTGAGACAGCAAGTCACCAGGTCCAGGACTTGAACCATGGTCTGCCATGTGGGAATGTCTAGCAACTCAACCATCACACCCCTGCTGTCCCGTCTTTTTTTTTTTTTTTTTTTTTTTTAAGGTTTTAGTCATAGGGTACATGTGCTTGCTGGAGACAAGAGGGAAAGTGAGAAATCACACTCCAGGGGAAAAGGGGTGGCCACAGCATAATTCATTCTCCTGGGATTTTGGCACACACACATGTCCTGTGTAATTTTCGAGCTGCCAGGTCCAGGACATGAGCCACAGTCAGCTCTTTGGGAGTCCAGTGCCTTGACCACTGCTGCCAAAGTAGCCAGAAGGGCACTTTGCTCATCTTGTTTAATTCCCTTTGCCAAGCCTGTTCCCTCACTCCACCATGGGGTCCCCTCTCTTACGTTGCTTAGCCCCAGCATCCTATTGTGGACCTTCACACCCACAACAGATGCTCTTTCACATCCTTGGGCTCTGTTTTCAGCTCGTCAGGATCTTGTGCATGCAGCCAGTGTATTTTGCACTTCCAGGTATCCAAACCCTTTGGCAGCCTTGTGGCTTTGATTACTACCAGGCTGGCCTGAATATGCAAATTGTATGTTGGGATCATATGACTCTTCTAGTCTGCTCCAGATTTTGAGTCTCTTAAGTACCTTTTAAGCTGCTTGTCTTGCAAATAGCAGGGGATTCGCTACTTAAATTGAGAAAGAAGTATTCTGCAACTTTTGAAAAATAATGTTGTAACATTGCTGGTATAAATTGGCACACTTCTTCATTTAGAGATCTTCTAGAATGTAATCACAGCTAAGATTTATTCTAGCAATAAGGTAACAGTGTTCTGTTGAACTATAAGAGAAAAAGAAGCGAGGGGTCTGTAGGGTTCTGGGCCCTTTCTGTGCTTTCCTCCTCCTGTGAAGGGATCATGCTGAACGGCTCTTTGCCCAGCTCAGAAAGTGCAGCAGCACACGTGTGTGGTTCCTGTCCAGGTACATCCATCAGAGACTCAGCATCCAAGATCTACATGGCCTGGTGATGTAGGTACCTCTTCCCTAGCACCTGCCAGAGTTCAGAAGGAAGACAGGTGCTCAGTTTAAACTGTATTGTTTATACACTGTAGACACAGTGAGCCGCCTCCTACCCTATTCACCCCAGTCAGGGAACGTGCCAAGACCCAGGTTCCCCAATGCCAGCCAGAGACCTACTTTGAGAGCAGCTTTTCTGAGGGTAGCAACTACCTTCAGGCCTGTTGTTCCTGCACAAAAGCTTATTTGCGTGCATCTCTAAAAGGGATTTAAATGGTCATATATACTTGTGTGCAAAATTAAATATATGCAGAATGAGTCAATACAGCATCATTTATAATAGTAATGTACTAAGGGACCATCAGTTGACGTAATGGCTATGTGGCTGGACTCCCATGTAGTCAACCACGGTTCGAGTGCCGGCATGGTGGCTTGAACTCACACCTGGTGCATGTGCATGCGTGCACAAGATCCCGAGAGGAGAATGGAGGAGAAGGGATTGCAGTGTGGCCATCCTCCCTGCTGGGCTGATTTCTTGCTTTCTGTCTCTCTGTCTTTCTCTGTCTTTCGGGCAAGCGCACGTGCCCTATAGCAAAAACCTCTCCAAAAAAAAAAAAGATTAGTAATGTATTGGAATTAATTAATCATTGAAGCATAATTTGCAATAGTAAAATGTTGGAAACACCCAATTATTCATATAAAATAAATATTGCTACGTTTATATAGTGGAATAGTAGGTAGCTGTTAAAAAAAAAGTAAAGGGGAAATTAATTTACTGATATGGAAAGATCAGGATATATTGTCACTGGAAAACGGTAAGGAGCTGAATAAGATACATAAAAAAGGAGAAGAAAAACTGTATGGGTTGAGCATTCCTGAGCCAAAAATCAGAAATCCAAAAGCTCCAAAATCCCAAACTCTTTTTCTTTAAAAAAATTAGTTTAATTAATTAAAATTTGACCAGAGAGGGACAGAGTATAATTAATTTAAATTTGACCAGAGAGGTGCAGAGTGAGAGAAAGTGAGAGAGAATAGTCGCCAGATCCAGGATTCCAACCCTAGTCAGCCATGTGGGAGTCCAGTGCCCTTAACCACCACGCCACCTGCCGGCCCCATCAAACTTACAATTTTGTAATTGCTAGAGGGCATGCACACTCACCAGGGAGAGAGCACCGTCTGATGGAGCATAGTCACACTGCAATGCCTCCCCCATTTCTTCATCCTTAGGATTTGGGGCATGCAATACACATGTGCCCAGAGTATTTTTCAAGCCACTGGGTCCAGGTTTCAAATACCACATGAGATCCAGTGCTCTTAACCTCTAACAGGCTGGTTCCCACATCCAAGACTTTTTAAATGCTGGTGTGACACCACAAGTGGGAAATTCCATACCTGTCCTCATGTGACAAGTCATAGTCATAATGCTGCAGGGGCCAGGAGGTGGTGTGGAGGTTAAGGCGGTTGGATCCCACATAGCCTACTTCATGATAGGAGTCCTACACGTATACTATCCTTACTGTATTGCATGTACCGCGTTTGAGAAGTCACCAGTAGGAACATTTTTCTCAAAGCCTAAATCGTCAGGTTAAGATTCATAAGGAAGCAATTAGAGGGGCTGACAGGTGGTGTGGTAGTTGGGACGCTGGTGTCTCATTTCTCACTTCCCTTCTGTCTTTCTGTGGTCAAATTAAGAAATAATAAATATAATTAAAGAAATCCAAAAAAAAAAAAAAGAAAGAAAGAAATTAGATAGTTACTATTATTTCCATTTTATATCTAAGGAAAGTGAGACTTAGAGTCATTAAAGCATCTCAGGTCACATGGCCAGTAAGTAGCATAATCAGTATTCAAATCTTGTTATTCTGAATTTCATACTCTTAACTACTGTGTCATCCTGCTTCCCTCAATTAAGTGCTGACATTTAGGGATTCCAAGATGAAGACAAAAAGGAAAAAATAGGTGAACTACTCCCCTGCTCCGTCATGCCTAAAGTATGTCATCTTCAGTAGCCTCCTTCCCTTCTGCTAAAAGTCATCTCACACACTTCAGAATTTTGAACCTTTTATGAATTCTGTTTTGAAAATAGATTACCAAAAAGACACGAATGTCAGTTGAAAACAATGTGTTTTTCCCTCTTACAGAAAAAACGCAGTGAAATTCCTTGTTACTGGGAAAATCAGCCAATGGGATGTCAAAAACTAAACTGTGCTTTCCATCACAACAGAGGGCGTTACGTTGATGGTCTTTTCCTACCTCCAAGCAAAAGTGAGATAAGTTTTTAATTTAAAAAAAAATTTACTATTAAATGAACATCTCTTATGCATACTATACAAAGTACTTTGTAAACGTTGCCATGTTTCAGTCTAGAGGGAATTGTTACTTCAACTTTATTAATGAGGAAATTGAACCCTGTTAAAGTTCAGTGATTTGTACTGGACCCTAGAACCAAACGTTTCCAGCAGCCAGTTTAGAGTATTATAGTTTACTTCCTTTCGCCTTTCCTTACAGTACCCATGGGGATTTTAAAAAGAAATTTGATTCTTCAAGCAAAGGGTTGGCAAGTCTGGTCCTCTCCCTGTTTTGTGAAATGTTATAGAGAGCAGCCTTGCCCATTGACTCAAGTATTTTCTTTTTAATTTTTGGTATAGGGCACATGCTTACCAAAGATAAGGGGAAAGGATGATGAAGCACTCCCCAGGGGGAATGACCACACTACAGTCCCTTTTCATCCATTCTCCTCCCAGAAATTTGGGCACAAACACACACCTGGCATGTTTTTCAAGCTGCTGAGTCTGGGGCTCAAACTGCATAGTCAGCCACATGAGATCCAGCTACTTTAAACACCACACCACTAGCTGGCCCTTTTTATATATTTTCTACGGCCAATTCTGTGCTACTAGTGCAGTTTTGAATAGTTCAGGCAGAGACTATATATTCCACAAATCCTGAAATATGACTATCTTACTCTACAGAGAAAGTTGCCAAGCCTGCTCTGGGATATAATGTAAAATAAAATGTGTACACTACAAAAAGCTAGTATTTACTTACCAAGTCCCTTTTAAAGCAACATCCTGGTATAGTTATTAGCCATTTAAAAGTCACATCTGCAGTGTGATTAAAATTTCATGGCTACATTTTTTCATCTCTATCTAAGGGGAGAAAGTTGGTTCACTCATTTACAGTTTGGTTCAAATGAATGCTGTCTGCTATGTCTTATTAGCTTCTTTGTTGAGCAAAAAGCCCAGAATTTGAATATTATAATTAATTGTCTACATCTAGCCTTCGGTTATTCTGTGTTTTAAGTGCCCACTTTAAGTGTTTATGTACAGTGAAGAGTTATTAGCCAGAAGTACATTTTCTCTTCCTGGGTGTTAGAATCTAACTGGAAAAATTACATGAAAAAACATAAATGCTCATAAGAAACAATGCACCAACATGTCGTGGATAGACAGGGACCTTTGGTGAAATGGAATTGTATCTTCTGTTTTTAACTAATGACCGATTTCGTGTGTTTAGCTGTGTTGCCCACTGTGCCTGAGTCACCAGAAGAGGACGTAAAGGCTAGTCAGCTCACAGTTCAACAGAACAAATTGTCTGTTCAGTCCAATCCCTCTCCTCAGTTGCGGAGTGTTATGAAAGTAGAAAGTTCCGAAAATGTTCCTAGCCCCACACATCCACCAGTTGTAATCAATGCTGCAGATGACGATGAAGATGATGATGGTAAGTTTGAACTCTTTCTTTTCTTTTTCTTTTTATTTATTTATTTGTTTTGAGAAGTTTTTGCTATAGGGCGTGTGCACTCACCAGAAAGACAGAGACAGAAAGGGAGAGATCACCCCCCCCCAGGGGGCTGGCCACACTGCAATCCCTTCTCCTCCATTCTCCTCTCTGGATCTTGGGCACACACGCACAAGTGCCTGGCGTGAGTTTAAGCCATCGGGTCCGGGACTCGAACTGCGGTTGACCACATGGGAGTCCAGTGACATAGCCATTATGCTAACTGCTGGTCCCAAGTTTGAACTCTTTCTTTAAGGCAAATAAACAGAATCATATAATGAAATGAACTGACTGAGGATTGTTTTTAATTATGAATTTACCTTAAATATTGATATGTAGATCAGTTTTCTGAGGAAGGTGATGAAGCCAAAACACCTACCCTGCAACCAGCTCCGGAGGTTCATAATGGATTACGAGTGACTTCTGCCCGAAAACCTGGGGTCACCTTAAAGCAAGGTGAGAGGTGACGTGCTAGTGATAAATTTTGGCACTTTGAATGTGTTTAAACTGTTCTAACTCTGTGAAATTTACTTCATACCCACTGCCCTCTCCCTCCCCTCCCCATGGTAGTACATGCACACATGCTTACACATAGAATATTTGACTGCCTTCTGTGTATGGGTAAGATAGAAAAGTGAGAAGGCTCTACTCACGTGATTTTTATTTGGGTTTCCCAGGTGAATGTTTGAATTTTGGAATAAAAACTCTTGAGGAAATTAAATCAAAGAAAATGAAGGAAAAATCCAAGAAGCAAGGAGGTAAGTGATCAGAAGCTCTGGCATGGATCATCATGTGTTACTAGAGAAAGTGATAAGGCTGCTTCTGGAAGCAGCAGCTAAAATGAACAAATAGATGTTTGTTTCTATGGCTTGTTTGAAATAAGACACATCCCTAACTACTCAGGGTGAGACACATATGAGAGGACTTCAAAAATGTCATGGAAAGGTCTGGCCCTGTAGCCCAGCAGGTAAGCCTTGTGCATAGGGAGTCAGATCTTACATGAGCAATTGCAGTTCCAATCTTGCCACAGGGCAGCTTGAAAAATATACTAGGCCCATGTGCGTATATGCTCAAAATCCTGAAAGGATGAAGTAGAGGAAGAATTGTGGGGTGACTGGCCTATTTGGGGATGCTTTCTTTCTTCCTCTGGTGAGCACATGTGTCCTCTGGCAATTAAAAAAATAATTGTATGAAAAAGTAGCTCATTGGAGGAACCAGCAGATGTGTAATGGTTACATTGCTGGACTCCCACATGGCCAACTGAAGTTTGATTCCCAGACCCAGCAGCTTAAAACTCCTGCCAGGTGCTTGCCTGGCATGCACAAAATAATGAGAGGAGAATGGAGGATAAGGGATTACAGCATGGCTATCCCTTCGAGGAGTGATTTCTCTCTCTCTCTCTCTCTCTCTCTCTCTCTGTCGGGAGTGCATGCACCGTATAGCAGAAATCCCTTTAAAAACAAAAAAAAAGTAGCTCGTTGGAAAATGGGGTTAAAATATGAGTTTATTTTGCTGCAAAAAATTTGAACTCTATGCAGTTATGGTTTTGATTTTTTTGGAGAGGTTTTTGCTGTTGGGCATGTGGGCTCGCTAGAAAGAGACAGACAGACAGAAAGCAAGAAATCATCCCCAGGGGTATAGCCACGCCGCAGTCCCTTCTCCTCCATTCTCCTCTCGGGATCTTGGGCATGCATACACATGTGCCTGGCTCAAGTTTATGCCACTGGCTCTGGGACTTGAACCGCGGTCGACTACATGGGAGTCCAGCAACATAGCCATTATGCCAACTGCTGGTCCCTCTATGCCGTGTTTTTGTTTGTTTATTTTTTGGAGAAGTTTTTGCTATAGAGTGCATCTGCTCGCCAGAAAGAGATAGAAAGCGAGAAATCACCCCCTGGGGGGATGGCCACACTGCAATCCCTTCTTCTCCTTTCTCTTCTCAGGACCTTGGGCACGCATGCATATGTGCCCAGCGCGAGTTTAAGCCACAGAGTCCAGGACTCAAACCATGGTCAACTACATGGGAGTCCAGCAACATAGCCATTACACCAATTGCTGGTACCCCTCTATGCAGTTTTTCAATGTTACACATTTTCTTTGAACTTTTTTAAGGCCCCAACTTGTAACAAGGAAACGAAAGAATTTGTATGTCTTGGGAAATAGAACTCTTGTTTGTTTGTTTGTTTGTTTTGTTTTGTTTGGGAAATATAACTCTAAAGACCACATAAGAAGCATATTGAGAGGGAAAACTTTAACATTTGTGTTAGGATAGTTCTTTCTCAGGAACTGCTAGGATTTTCTTGCTTCAACTTGTTGGATCTATATTTCCCACTTGAAAAATTAAAAAGTATAAAACATAGTATATATAGAGAAATAAATGGTTGGTTCTACAAGTCCTCTTGTTAAAGCTCTTTTTTTTTGGGGGGGAGAGGTTTTCGCTTTAGGGCGCGTGCGCTCGCCAGACAGACAGAGAGAGACATAGAGACAGAAAGCAAGAAATCACCCCCCAGGGGGGATAGTCACACCGCAATCCCTTCTCCATTCTCCTCTCGGGATCTTGGGCACGCATGCACAGGCGCCCAGCGTGAGTTTTAAGCCACCAGGTCCGGGACACGAACCGCAATTGACTACATGGGAGTCCAGCGACATAGCCATTACGCTAACTGCTGGTTCCCTAAAGCTCTTTTTCTAAGGAACCTTAGAATTATGTTTTGCAGGCTGTTAAGTTTAGATAGAAGCATTGAATTTACATACATTATGGCTGGTAGATTTCTGAGAATAATGTTAGCCTTCCTGGTAAGTAAAAGCAGGTTGAATGCATACTTTTGTTTTTATAAAACACCTAGGGCTCCCCTAACCATACCTCATTTCCTAATAGTAAAACAAGTTCAGAAAAGAAGCTGGCTTGTATTCAGAACAGTTGGCATTGGACATGTCACAGAAACAAATTTTTGTGACTTATCATAGTTTATTTGCCATAAACTATTTGCTGTTCTTTGAATTGCCTTTTCCAGAAGGTTCTTCAGGAGTTTCCAGTCATTTACTCCAACCTCAACCCATTCCAGGTCCCGAGAAAGAGAATGTCCGGACGGTGGTGAGGACAGTAACTTTGTCCAGCAAACAAGGTAAGGCATAGGTGGATATTAGAGTTGTTAAGCTTCTAGTTTTATGTGTTTGGGAATACAAAATAGCTGGTAGTTTTTCGGTTTCTTTTTGTATTTTTACCTTTGATAGATTTGCGGAAAGGATTTATTTAGTATATTGATTGGATACAACGCTGTAAAGAAAAGTTGGTACACTGACTCTACTTTTTTTTTTTTTAAAGAATTATTATTTATTTATTCATCTATCTTAATTCAACCAGAGAGGGACAGAGCGAGAAAGTGAGAAAGCAAGCCACACTCTGGGACTCCAACCATGGTTGACCATCTGGTAGTCCAGCATTCTTAACCATCATGCCACCTGCTGGCCCTAACTGTACTATTTAAACATTGAAATTCTCAGGGACCAGCAGGTGGCGTGGTGGTTAAGGTGGTAGACACTCCCAAATGGCCGACAACAGTTTGAGTTCAGACCTGGTGGCTTGCTTTCTCACTTTCCCACTGTCTCTCTCTCTGTGTCTTTCTCTGGTCAAATTAAAATAAATGAATGAATAATTTTTTTTAATTCAAATTCTCACTTAAACTACCCTTACATTGAGTAAATTTAATTTTTTACATTTACTGGTTATTTATATCTATTCAACAAATTTGTTGACTTCCTAATTTAAAGAATTATAATAAATCCTTTGAGTTGTAGAAAAATGTAGATGTCTTTTCACTTAATAGTTTTAAACTTAGTAAATATGTGACCCAAGTAATTATAGTATGTATGTGTATATATATACATATATATATATAGAGAGAGAGAGAGAGCGCACACGTGTGCACGCAAGAGAGATACATTTAAATATGTGTGTCAGGGCTAGCAAGTGGTGTGCACTTGAGGTACTGGACTTCCACATGGCCAACCACGGTTCGAATTCTGGACCTGGCAGCTTTCTCTCTCTCTCTCTCTCTCTCTCTCTCTCTCATATGTGCCCTATAGCAATTTTAAAAATAACAATAATTTTTTTTTGAGCGGTTTTTGCTATAGGACACATGTGCTCACCAGAAAGAGAGACAGAAAGTGAGAAATCACCCCCCAGGGAGAATCGCCATGCTGCAACCCCTTCTCCTCTGTTCTCTCGGGATCTTGGGCATACATGCACACGGGCCTGGCGTGAGTTTAAGCCACCAGTTCCAGGACTCGCATCGTGATCAACTACATGGGAGTCCAGCAGCATAGCCATTATGCTAACTGCTGGTCCCGATAATGATAAAATTCTAAAAAAAAAAAATCAAAAATAAATATTTGTTTCATTCAAACAACAGAAGGAAGATGCCTCAGTCACTCCTTGATGGGGTGATTAAAGAAAATTATAGAGGAACCAGCAGGTGGTGTGTTGGTTTGGACACTGGACAATCCCACATGGCCAGCCGTGGTTCAAGTCCCAGACCTGGTGGCTTGCTTTCTCACTTCCTTTCTGTGTGTGTGTGTGTGTGTCTCCCTCTGGTCAAATTTAAATAAATGAATTAATTAATAAAATAAAATAAATAATTCTTTTTAAAAAAGAAAATACGGTATTTTTTTTAAAAGAAAAAATTATAGGGAACCAGCAGTTAGCGTAATGCTATGTCGCTGGATTCCCACGTCGTCGACTGCGGTTCGCGTCCCAGACCCAGTGGCTTAGAACTCATGCCGGGCACATGTGCGTGCATGCCCGAGATCCCGAGAGGAGAATGGAGGAGAAGGGATTGCGGCATGACCATCCCGCCTGGGGGGTGATTTCTCGCTTTTTGTCTCTATGTCTCTGTTTGTCTGGGAAGCACACGCGCCCTATAGCGAAAACCTCTCAAAAAAAAAAAGAAAAAATTGTAAAGGAAAGTTAGCACAGTTTCATCTAATGTATCAAAGTGCATAAGCAGTAGTATAACTTGGATTTATGACCAATTGGTTAAGAATATGATTTTTCTCCTTAAACTTGGCCAATGTAATAATTAAGACTGCTGTTGCTTCCATTTGGACTATGTGTTTGGTTGTTTAAATTACTAATAGGGATTTTTTTTGTTTATTTATTTATTTTAAGGCATTATTTAATTTTTAATTTGTTGTTATTATTGTTATTATTTAATTTGGCCGGAACGAGAGAGAAGGAGAGTAAAAAAGCAAGCTGCCAGGTTTGGGACTCGAATCATGGTCAGCCATGTGGGAATCCAGCATCTTAACCACCATGCCACCTGCTGGCCCTATTGCCTGTTAGGTGGTTTTTAAAGGTGATAGTCTTCCTGAAAACTTAGACAGGATTTTCAATAGAGTTTCTGGATGGGCTCATAATATAAGAACATATTTTGTATTCATTAGTAGTTACTACATACAGAAAAATTGGCTGTTAGTAGAGAAATTACATTTTTGTCATTTCAGGAGAAGAACCCTTGGTTAGGTTGAGTCTTACTGAGAGATTGGGGAAACGAAAACTTACAGTAGGTAAGGAAAGTGTTGTGCTTATCTTTTTTTCTGCTTGTTTATGCATTAACATGATATATTTTCTTCCTTCCTTCCTTTTCCTTTCTTTTCTTTTCTCTCTCTCTCTCTTTCTTTCTTTCTTTCGTTCTTTTGATTTTAGCTGTAGGGTGCCCCCCTCCTCCCCCAGAGGGGATGGCCATGCCGCAATCCCTTGCCCAGTGTGAGTTTAAGCCACCAGGTATGGGACTCGAACCGTAGTTGACTACATGGGAGTCCTGCGACATAGCCATTATGCCAACTGCTGGTCCCTTCAGCGTATGTTTCAAGGAACACTGCCAGTTCTAGATTTTGAGAGCTGTATTTGATATTCTCAGCATGTAGTTAGAACAGAAGCCAAACCAAGGACCCCCAAAAAATGAAATTTTCAACTTTGTGTGTGTGTGTGTGTGTGTGTGTGTGTGCGCGCGCTATTGGACACACATTCACCAGAGAGACGGAGACAGAGGGTATGGCCACACCACAGTCTCTTCTCTTCTTCTCTTGGGATTTTGGATGTGCACAAACAGTCCCAGCATGTTTTTCAAGACGCCAGTTCTAGGAACTCGAACTGCACAATTGGCTATATGAGATCCATCATGCCACCACTGCCCTGAAACGTTCAGCTTTGACATAACTGATCATAGAGCAAACCATGGTCTGGTGGTTATGTGAACTGGATCCCACAATGGCCAACTGCACGTTTTGAATCCCCAACCCAGTGACTTGAGAAACATGCCAGGTATGTGTGCATGTGTGTGTAAAATCCTGAAGGGAGGAAGAGTGGAGAAGGACACTTTTATTTCTTTTTCAAAAGTGAGTTCTACAGAAGCTGGTGAATGGACATATCATATAAATGCAGAAAATAGGGACTAGCAGATGGCATAATGGTTACATTGCTGAACTCCCAAGTAGTCAACCACAGTTTGAGACCCAGACCGTGCGAATTAAAACTCATGACGGGCGCATGTTCATGAATACCCAAAATCCCGAGGGGAGAATGGAGGAGAAGGGATTGCAGTGTGGCCGTTCCCCCAGGGGGTGATTTCTCACTTTCTGTCTCTGTCTCTCCCTGTCTCTCTGGCAACCCCATGCGCCCTATAGCAAAAATCTCTCCCAAAAAAATCATTAAATAAATAAATTCAAAAAATTTACAGCATCATTCTTTGTTGTCTGTTTTTTCTTGTGAACTTTTTGAAATCTTAAACTATATTTCCCGGTTTGTAGGCAGTGACAGCGACCCTCCATTAAAGCGCAGCCTTGCACAGAGGCTAGGAAAGAAAGTTGAAGCTGCAGAAACTAATGCTGAGAAAACACCAAAGAAAGGTAATTCTATTCTGATATCCTTTCTGTGTCTTAGCAGTCATGTTTGTTACAGTGTTAACAGATGTGTTTGTCATTCTTTTTGTCAGTAAAATTGGGTTGTCTTCTGACGTCTTTTTCAACCATTTAACAAACATTGAGTGCTTACTCTATCATTCTGGGACACATTAAACACTGTCACGCTCTCAGCTTATAGTCTAATAAGTAGAAATACGTATAAATAGGGCCAGGAGGTGGCAGGGAGGTTAAGGCACTGGATCCCACACAGTCAACGCTGTATTTGAGTCCTTGACCCAGCAGCTTAAAAAAAAAAAAAAAAAAAAAAAAAACACGTGTAAAAAAAAAAAAAAAAAAAAAACACTGGGTACATGTGTGTACATGCTCAAAGTCCCAAGAGGAGAATGGAGATGGGTTTGCAGTGTGGCCATTCCCCCTGGGAGTGACTACTTACTTTTTCTCTCTCTGTCCCTCTCTGTTGAGTGCATGCAGCATATAGCCAAAAAAAAAAAAAAAAGAAACCAGCTGAGGGGCCATCCCGTAAGCACCGAGCAGAGGCAGCTAGGTCCTGGATCCCATGTGGCTGGCTGTGTTCAGATCCTAGCCTTGGCAGCTTGAAAAACACACTAAGCACAGACATGTGTTCCAGATCCTGACAGATAAAGAAATGGAGGAAAGGGGGATTGGGACATGACCAAGCCCCAGTGGGGGACGTGTGCTCATGTGCTCTCTTTTTCTCAGGCACACATATATCTAGTGACATTTTTGTTAATTAAAAAAAAGAAAGAGGACCAGCAGTTAGCGTAATGGCTATGTCGCTGGACTCCCACGTAGTCGACCGCAGTTCGAGTCCTGGACCCGGTGGCTTAAACTCATGCCGGGCGTGTGTGCGTGCATGCCCAAGATCCCCAGAGGAGAATGGAGGAGAGGGGATTGCGGCGTGGCCATCCCCCCTGCTGGGTGATTTCTCGCTTTCTATCTCTCTGTCTGTCTCTGTCTGGCAAGAAAAGCAGTCAGATATGATTGGAGAGCCAGAGGCTTTTGCAGACAGAATAACCCCTGTAAAAGCATAGAGCTGCAAAAGCATGATATGTTTGAGGAACTGAGTATGGCCAAAACAGAATTGGGTTGGAAAGCATGACAACAAGAGGAGAAGGCCTAGATGTCACACTAGAGAGTTTAGATTTTACCCTAAGATAGTAACAAACCAGGGCCACCCAGTGGCATGGAGGTTAAGGCTCTGGATCCCACATGGCTAGCCACACTGTTCATGACACGGACCTGGAGGCTTAAGAATCACTCTGGGTACAGGTGTGCATGCCCAAATTTCTGAGAGGAGAGGAGATTGGCTATCCTCCTAGGGGGTGATTTCTCACTTTCCTCTTTCCATGTTTGACTCTCTGGTGATGCACACACCCTCTGGCCAAAACTTAAAAAAAAAAGATACTAACAAACCATCACAGGTATACATAGAGATCAGAGGCCCAGATTTGCATTTTAGAACCATTACCTGGCCCACAATGTGGAAAGAGACTAGAAGGGAATAAGAGTGCTGGTGGGGTATTTGTTAGTAGGCTGCTAGAGCAGTCCAGTAAGAGGAGGCAGTGGCATAGGGTTAGTGTTCTGGAGGTTGGTGTGGAGAGTGACGGACTAAATCGGTTAATTGAATTAAAGTGGTTTATAGCTAAAGGAGAAGGAACAATTGAGGGTTGGATTTTTGTTATTGTTGTGAGAGAAAGAGGGAAAATGAAAAAGCCAGCCATCAGGTCTGGAACTTGAACTGTGGGGTTCACCATGTGGGAGTCTAGTGCCTTAACCACCATGCCACCTGCTGGCCCCAAAGGTAGGATTGTTCTTTTTTCCCCCTTCTCATTGTATTTAGTTGTAACTTTTCTTGAAGATAAATTATTTCTTTCCATTGTTCCTCTGACCCAAGCAGCTTTGATGTGTTGCTGTTCCTATTTGGGAGCTTTTTTGCATTCTCAGAGTAAGATGTTTACTGAACTCCTCCCTTCCTCGTTGCCTATCAATCTTACTGAAGATTCTCATAACTAAAGAGTACGTTTCTGGCCGGCAAGTGGCGTGGTGATTACGGCGACTGGGTTCCCACATGGCTGACCTCGGTTTGAGGCCTGGATCTAGCAGCTTGCTTTCTCAGTTTCTTTCTCTCTCTCTGTCTCTCTCTGGTCAAATTAAAAAAAAAAAATAAAGACAAAAAAGACAAAATTTTTAAAAACAACTACTGGTTAAGGGGGCAGATCCCATATGACCGACCACGGTCTGAATCGTAGCCCTGGTGGCTTGAAAAACTCACCAGTGCTTGCAAGCCTGTGCCCCAGATCCCAAAAGCATGGAGAAGGGATTGCAGCATGACTGTTCCCCATTTGGGGTTGCTTTCTTACTCTTCCTCTCCTGCAGCGTACACATGCCCTCAGGCAATAAAAATAAATTTTTAAAAAAATAATAGATTTTGAAGGACAAAAACTTCAATGCCACAAGGTTCTAGAAGGTTGTACAATAATAATTTTCCTTAATTTAGTAGCTTTTGCTTGTCAGATCTAAAGGAAAGTGTGATTTATTTATTTAATCTCTCCATGATTCACTTCAGTCTTTTCTGTGGAGAAGCGGAATTAAGAACTTGAGAGGTTTTTTATTTTTATTTGCATTATAACATAGAGAAGTATAACTTAATTTGTGAACTTTGAAAAAGATATGTGACCTATAAAAAAAAATCTCTGTTCATCTTCTGGTCTTGGAAATTCTTTTGTTTTGCAGCTCCAGTTCCGAAGTCTCTGAGGGAGCGATTAGGCACATCAGCTGGTCCAGACTGTGAGGAGGCGGCAGGTGCGTACATTCTGGGACAACGTTTGGTGTCTTCCCTTGCCTGAAGAATCTTTGCTTCCCTTTCATTTACTTATCATAGCACCAGTTATATTGCTGCCAGTGGCTTTTGTTCTCTGTGGATCTGTTTGTTTTGGTTTTTGTTTTTTTTTTTTAAGAAATTGATTATTCACCTGTAAAAATTTCTTTTTTTGTGTGTATAGATGGCAAAATCAATGTTTCAAATAACCTTAAGGACCAGCCAGTAATGTGGTTAAGGTGGCTGGATCCCACATAGCCGACTCCGTAATTTAAGTCCTGGACCTGGTGGCTTGAAAAATTATGTTGGGGGCCTGGCAGCTGGCATGGTGGTGTTGGATTCTCACATGGCCGACTGTGGTTCGAATCACAGACCTGGCGGCTTGCTTTCTCACTTTCTCTCTCTCTCTCACTGTCCCTGTCTGGTCAAACTAAGATAAATAAATAAATAAACAAACAAATTAAAAAACTTAAATAAAAAATAATTCCTTTAGGAAAAAAAAAAAAAAGAAAAATTATGCTGGACTTGGGACCAACAGTTAGCATAATGGCTACGTTGCTGGACTCCAATGTGTCGCTGGACTTCACTGTGGTTCGAGTCCCGGACCCAGTAAACTCACGTCAGGCACGCGTGCATGCGTGCCCAAGATCCCAAGAGAGAATGTAGGAGAAGGGATTGCAGTGTGGCCATCCCCGCTGAAGGGGGATGATTTCTCACTTTCTGTCTCTCTTTGTCTTTCTGGCGAGCACACACACCCTATAGCAGAAAACTCTAAAAAAAATTATGCTGGGCTTGAGTACACGCCCAAGATCCCTAAAGAAGGTTCTGAAAAATGGAGAGGGATTGTGATGTGACAGTGCCTCATGGGGGTGCTTTCTGATTTTCTCGCTCTTTTGCTCTGTCTCCAGCAAATGCTCTCTAGCAAATTTAAAAACAAAAAATGAGGGGCCAGCAGGTAGTTTGGTGACTAAGGCACTAGACTCCCACGTGGCCGACTGCAGTTCCAGTCTTGGACCTGGCAGACTGAAAATCACACTGGGCACATGCATGTGTGTGCCCAAGATCCTGAGAGGAGAATAAGGAGAAGGGACTGTGGCAGGGCCAGCCCCCTCATTGCTGAGACTTGTTCAGCAGAATGTGTTTTTTGAGTGTAGAGGGGCTGTGTTTTAGAAATAAACACACAAAGACATACAAGTAAAGAGTGAGGATCCGGTGGGCCCAACTTCTCTGATGAAAATAGCTACAATCCCGAACCAGTTCCAGCTTTATTCTTTTAAAGGGCAGAGAACGCTGTGAGGTGATTTCTCACTTTCCCTGTCTCTATCTCCTTCTAGGGAGTTCATGCACCCTATGGCCAAAACCTAAAAATAAAATAAAACACACACGCACATAAACATCTTAGGATTTTAGGGCAAGAAAAGAATTTTCTCCCCCCCCCCCCCCCCGCCCCATTCTCCTCTTAGGATTTTGGACATTCATGCACACGCTCTATACAGGCCACTTGGTCTTGGACTTGCACCACACAGGTAGACGTGGGGTTTGGCCACCTCAACCACATGCCTCTGGCTGGCCTTTTATTTTTTAAGAAGCTAATTTTTTCTGGGGCCAGCAGTTGGTGTAATAGATATGTCACTGGACTCCCACATAGTCGACTGAGGTTCAAGTCCCGGACCCAGTGGCTTAAACTCGCTCTGGGTGTCTGTGTGTGTGTGCCCAAGATCCCGAGAGGAGCATGGAGGAGAAAGGATTGCAGTGTGGCCATCCCCCTGGGGAATGATTTCTCACTTTCTATCTCTCTGTCTCTCTCTTGTCTTTCTGGTGAGTGCACGTGCCCTATAGCAAAAACCTCTAAAAAATAAAAAAAGTTAATTTTTTTTTCTTTTTTTTTGAGAGGTTTGTGGATTTTTTGCTGGATGGCCACGCTGCATGTGGGAGTCCAACAACGTAACTAGTGTGCCATTTTCTGGTCCTCCATTACAACTTTATTTACAAAACTGGGTCAGTGTTTTATCCTCTGGCCTATAGTTTGCCTGCCCTATTCTAGATGGCTTAGTAGGGGCCAGCCTTATCTTCAGGTGAATTTATTTTGGTACTTGTGTTTTTAGAATATTTTTTTTGTTTTTAAAATTTTTTTGCTGTAGGGTACATGTGTTTGCTAGAGTCAGAGACAGAAAGAGAGAAAGAGAAAGTTCCATCTTCCCATTCACCCGGTGCAGGAGATGGCCATGCCACAGTCCTTTCTCCTCCATTTATTTTATTGCCGTTTTTCCATAGTTGTGAATTCCTTAAGTTTCCTCTGATGTGCATATTGACCATTTTGATGAAATTTTGGCAGGGGAGGGTATCAAGGATTCCATGTCACCATTCATGTTATATTTTCTTGGAGGATAATTTTAAGGTCAGTCTGCTATCTTGAAATGGAAGAATGTATTATTTTTATTTAAAAACCTAAAGAAATTCATAACTCCTTTGCAGCAGGTACTGTACTAAAGAAAACATTGCCAGTAACTGTTGTCATGCAGTATTTAGTATGGTTGTAGAGGCAGTTTCAGTACTCTGTGGTCTGTGCTGTGATTAGAGAAACAAACTAGATTGGAGGGTGCATCAGGTTGTAAGCTGAGCATAGTTAAAGCTAACCAGGCAACGGGAAAAAGTGAGACTGGTAAGGAAATATTCCAAGGAGAGGGGACAACATGCTCAAAAGGTGAGAATGGCCACTGTTAAAATTTTGAAAGGATTTTTAAAAAGAATTATTTATTTATTTAATTCCATTTGCTATTATTATTTTTTAATTTGACCAGACAGAGACAAAGGGATAGAGAAAAGGAATGCAAGAAAGCAAGCTGCCAAGTCCAGGTCTGGAACTGTGGTCAGCCACGTGGGAATCCAGCGCCTTTATTCACCACGCCACCTGCCAGCCCCTTAAAAGGATTTTTTATGTTGATCTTTCATTTAAAGTTGTGTCTGATGACACAGCTTTCGCATATGCGTGTATATAATCTCCAAATCGTTCTTATTTAGCCCACATTGCTTTATTATCTCTTTTGTTAGCCCTTCTCTAATGAAAATGGTCTTATTTGTCAAATGTGAAATTTAGTCTTTAAACAGATGTAGAGTGATTTATATATCATTTAAAAATAGATCTTCAGGACTAGCAGGTGGCATAATGGTTATGTCGCTAGATTCCCATGTAGTCGACCATCGTTCAAGTCCTGGACCCAGCAACTTAAAACTCATACCGGGCACATGTGCATGTGTGCCCAAAATCGAGAGAGAAGAATGAAGGAGAAGAGATTGCTGCATGGCTATCTCCCCTGGGGAGTGATTTCTCTCTTTCTGTCTCTGGCGAGCACACGTACTCTATAGCAAAAATTTCTCTTAAAAAAAAAATTCAAAAAATTTCTCTTAAAAAAAAAATTCACAGGGACCAGCAGTTAGCGTAATGGCTATGTCACTGGACTCCCATATAGTCGACTGCAGTTCGAATCCTGGACCCGGCAGCTTAAACTCACGCTGGGTGCATGTGCGTGCATACCCAAGATCCTGAGGAGAATGGAGGAGAAGGGATTGTGGCATGGCCATCCCCCTCTGGGGGGTGATTTCTTGCTTTCTGTCTCTCTGTCTTTCTGGCGAGTGCACACGCCCTATAGCAAAAACCTCTCCAAAAAAAGAAAATTCACAGGCCAGCAGGTGGTTATGGTGCTAGATCCCACATGGTTGACTTTGCATTAAAGTCGCAGACCTAGCTTCCTGAAAGATACCCCAGGCATGTGTATACATGGCCAAAATCCCCAGAGAATAGAGAAGGGATTGCGGGTGTGGCCAAACCCCCCTCCCCCGCGGGGGTGGGGGTGTGTGTGATTTTTTCCATTCTGCTCTCTCACTGTCTCTCTCCGGTAAGAATGCATGCCCTGTAGTAAAGTCTTTTTAAAAAGAAGATCTTGAGCTATACAGTATCCTCTTGACGTCTCCCTTTTTTCTTTTGTCTTGTCACCTTTTTAAACTCTAGATAGCACTTACTCTGAAATGTTTCCCTTACAGATTTCTAGACAAGCATTGTCATTTTTGCCATGTGCATCTAACGGCATTATAATCCCCTTATCAAAGCAGTTGTCATTACTGTATTTTGTTGTTGCTTGTCTGATTACTGGTCTGCTAGACTGTAAACTGCATATGGACAGAGATTCTGTTCTGTCTACCGTTAGGTTTCTAGCACAGCACCTAGCACATGTTATATTTATGAGTGGATTAAATCATTTATTGCTATTTTTATTGATAAGATTCATAATGACATATTTCTTCAACTAGTTCAGATTATAAGTTTCTGAGTAGAAATATAAATCAGCAATTTTTGCCTCCTAAAAGTTTCGTTGAGGGTCACTACCTGAAACATGCAGTAATTTAAATTGAGATTGAGACTGATGTTATAACTTTATTTTTTTCTTTTTTAAGATTTTTACTGTAGGGCGGATGCACTCATCAGAGAGACAGGGATAGAGAGAGAGAAATCACACACCCCCGGGGGAATAGCCACACCACAATCCCTTTTCCTCCGTTCTCCTCTTGGGATTTTGGGCACTCGCACACACGTACTCAGTGTGAGTTTCAAGCCACCCACCAAGTCTGAGACTTGAACATGAGAGTCCAGAGACTTAACCATCATACCACCTGTTGGTCCCTGATCTTTTTTTTTTTTTTTTTTTTGCTATAGAGCGCATGCGCTCGCCAAACAGAGAGAGACAGACAGCGAGTAATCCCCCCCCGGGGGGGGGATGGCCACACCACAATCCCTTCTCCATTCTCCTCTGGGGATCTTGGGCATGCACGCACACGCACCTGGCGTGAGTTTTAAGCCACCCAGTCCGGGACGCGAACCGCGGTCAACTACGTGGGAGTCCAGCGACATAGCCATTTCGTGGTCCCAACCCTTATTTTTCTTTTTTTTTCTTTTTTTTTTTTTTTTTTTTTTTTTTTTTTTTAAGAATTATTTATTTAATTTTATTTATCATTATTACGTTTTTTTACATTTGCTTACAGGGCACATGCACTCACCAGAGAGAGAGAGAGAGACAGTGAGAAAGCAAGCCACTTTGGTCTGGCACTTAAACGCATCACTGGCCATGTGAGAGTTTAACACTTAACCACCATGCCACCTACTGACCCCAACTTTGTTTTTTTGTTTTTTGTTTTTTGTTTTAAGAGAGATTTTTTGCTGTAAGGCACGTGTAATTGCTGGAGAGACAGAAAGTGAGAAGTCGCCGCCTCCCACCACCAGGAAGGATAGCCACACCACAATCCCTTCTCCTCCATTATTCTCTCAGGATTTTGGGCATGCAGGCACACATGCCCATGAGTTAGGTTTTTTGGGGATTTTTCTTTTTTCTTTTTTTTTGAGGTTTTTGAGGTTTTTGCTATAGGGCGCGTGTACTTGCCAGACAGAGAGAGACAGAAAGTGAGAAATCACCCCCCAGTGGAGATGGCCACATCGCAATCCTTTCTCCTCCATTCTCCTCTCGGGATCTTGGACATGCACTCACATGTGCCCAACATGAGTTTTAAGATATCGGGTCCGGGACGTGAACCGTGGTTGACTACTTGGGAGTTCAGCGACATAGCCGTTACGCTAACTGCTGGTCCCACGCCCATGAGTTTTAAGCCACTGGGTCTAGGACTCGAACCACAGTCAACTATGTGGGAGTCCAATGATAAAGCCTTTACACTCTCTGCTGGTCCTCCAACTTTGATCGTTTTAATTGCCTACCTAAATGATGCATCTCTGTTGGGCAGTCTTGATTAAGAATAGAGAGATCATAAGTCATTAAAATGTGAAAGTAAAATAACATGTTTTTTTTTTTCCCTATGAAAATAGAGAGAGTTAAAGTTGGTGAGATCCACGTGAAGACATTAGAAGAAATTCTTCTTGAAAGAGCCAGTCAAAAACGTGGAGAACTGCAGGCTAACCCCAAGGTAGAAGGGCCTTCAAAAGCTGACGATTCTACTTCAGGAATAAGAAGCTCCTCCACTGTCCGAATCAAAACCTTTTCTGAGGTCCTGGCTGAAAAAAAACATCGACAACAGGAGGCAGAGCGACAAAAAAGCAAAAGGGATACAGCTAGCATCAAGCTAAAGACTGACAGTGAAATAAAAAAGACAGTCGTTTTGCCACCCATGACTGCCAGCAAAGGACAGTCAGAGGAGCCTGCAAGTAGAGCGAGGTCTATGCAGGATGTGCACATCAAGACTTTGGAGGAAATTAAGCTGGAGAAGGCACTGAGGGTGCAGCAGAGCTCTGAGGGTAGCACTAGCTCCCAGCCTCAGCCTGAGGCCACCCCCGGGGCAAGGCGGCTGCTGCGAATCACCAAAAGAACAGGTAACCTGAGAGCTTGGCTCGTAGTACCGCTTCCCCAGATAATACTCCAGAGGGCAATGCTGGCGGGATCTTCCCAGGCCTTCTCTCAGAACTTTACTTAGACAACTTGGAAAACCAATGGATTAAAAAAAAAAAAAAGAAAACCATTGGGTTAAGTGACATTTGATTGTCTCTTCACAGCAGCCCTATCATAGAAACCTTGGCTATTTCAGTGTGCATTTTTAGCCTTCATGAAGACCAGTGGCCTTTATCTGCAGTTTTCTCCTGTCTTATCCTTACTTTCATTAAGAATTTTAACTTCATCTATCATGAAGTTGCCACCTCATTAATAAAATAACTTACGATCTCTTTAATGTGAATATAGGTATGAAAGAAGAAAAGAAACTTCAGGAAGAAAGCGAAGTTACTTCCCAGAGCAGTGTTACTAGGACAGAGGCTAAAGAGGTAAGTTTATCTAAGGTCATTGTATAATTTTATCCCTGGCAAACAAGACTAGAGGGATGATAAAATGTGCTTCTAAGTTTTAGTTGATAGTATATTTCCATTAAACATTACACCAATATATTAGGTAAGTAGTTTTCCTGATGCCCAAAACTTCATATGAGAGTTTCCTATAGTTCTGTTTGTTCAATGTTCTTTGCCCTTTTTATTTATTTATTTTTAAAGAATTGTCTTATTTAACTTTATTTATTTTAATTTGACCAAGGAGGGACAGAGAGAGAAAGGGGGAGAGAGAGAATGAGAGAGAAAGTGAGAAAGCAAGGTGCCAGGTCCGGGACTCAAGCCATGGTCAGTCATGTGCGAATGCAGCACCTTTAGCCACCATGCTACTAGCCAGCCCCTTATTTTATTTTATTTATTTTTCTTTTTAAGATTTATTTATTTATTTATTTTCCACATGAGTTTTGCCAGAAAAAGAGAGAAAGAAGGCAAGATGCCAGGTCCAGGATTTGAAAACAGTCAGCCATGTGAGAATTCCAGTGCCTTAACCACCATGCCACCTGCTGACCCCTTATTTTATTTTTTTAAGTTTTTTAAGCCATGGGGCATATGTGTTAGCCAGAGGAGACGGAGGGAAAGTGAGTAATCACCTCCCAGGGAGGATTGCCACACTACAATCCCTTCTTCATTCTCTCAGGATTTGGGGCACATACACACATGCTCAGCATGATTTTTTAAGCCATAGGGCCCGGGACTCAAACCACAACCATGTGGGGATCCAGCACCTGATCATTATGCCACTTGCTGGCCCCATAACATTTGCTTTTACTGGCAACATAATATTTTTGTTATATGAATATTGCCTGTCTCTGAACATCTAGCTTTTGTTTCACAGAATTATCAATAAGAATATCTTTGTATATAAGCCTTTATGTAAATATCTGAAAATTTAGAAGTCATTACTTTTTGACTCAGGGCAATAGTTGTCTAGTCTGTACAATCTTTTTTTTTATTGTTCTCCACATGTTTTATTTTAATTTTTCATCTTTAACCATGGTATTATCTATTTAATATCAAATAACTTTTTTCCTCAGCTTCTGGATCACTTCAAACTGCTTAACTTAAATGTTAACCTGATACTTTATAAATAATAATCATCTAAGTTGTTAAAATTACTAGATTTTAATTTTAATTCTGTTATTTTAATTTATCCACAGGCTTCAGATGAAACCATAGGAGTTGACATCACTAAAGCTCAAGTCAAGAGATGCGAGACTACAAGAGAGAAGCACGTACAGAAACAGCAGGAGAGGGGAACCTCACAGAAGGAAAAATCAGTCTTGACACCCCTTCGGGGAGATGTGGCCTCTTGCAATACCCAGGTGGCAGAGAAGCCAGTGCTCACTGCTGTGCCAGGCATCACACGGCACCTGACCAAGCGGCTTCCTGTAAAGTCATCCCAGAAGGTGGAGGTTGAAACCACAGGGATTGGGGACTCAATACTGAATGTGAAATGTGCAGCACAGGCCTTGGAAAAAAGGGGTAAAGGTGAGCGTTTTATATAGTGCGGCTTGCTTCAGGTTATCAGAATTAACATTTCAGTAATGATCTCCTGACGACAGTTGGATGGATTTCATTTGTCTTAGGTACTGGTCACACAGGTGGATAGTAATATTTTTTATATTACTATACAGAGACAAAACTGAGTGAGTTATGCATTCCTTTCTCAGAATTTAAAATTGCTGCTTCTCAAAGCTTTGTCTAAGGGGCTGATAGGTGGTATGGTGGTTTAGGCGCTAAACTTCCACATGGCAAACTGTGGTTCAAGTCCCAGACCTGGTGGCTTACTTTCTCACTTTCTCTCTCTCTCTCCAAGCTTAGAAATAATAATAAATAAAATAATAATTTTTTCTTTTTTAAAAAATAGCTTTGTCTAGGGTCCAGCAGGTGGCATAATGGTTATGTCACTAGACTCCCACATAACTGACCGTGGTTTGAGTCCTGGACCTGGTGGCTTGAAACTCATGCCAGGCGCATGTGGGTGCATGCCTAAAATCCCGAGAAGAGAGTTGAGAAGAAGGGAGGGCAGCATCGCCATTCCCCCAGGAGGTGATTTCTTGCTATCTTTCTGTCTCTGACAAACACACACACACCCTATAGCAAAAAAAAAAAAAAAACTCTTTAAAAAAACAAAAAAGCTCTGTCTGAAACTTTCCATGTTACATCTTTTCTGTTCTCATAGAAGAGAAACACCAGGAAATAGAAGGACAACACTAAATTCAAGAGCCATTGGAAATGAGTCATTTGAATATATGTCTCTATGTGATGCTCCTTTAGTACAAGTCACCTGCGGATCGCTCTAGTCTCTTGGAGGCTTTTTTGTTGTTTTGTTTGTGGTACTTCGAATACTGAAGGAATTTTGGTCATTTATTTTGAGTTGTTATTTATACAAAAGAATTTTCCAGCTCTTGAGATATTTTCTTATCTCTCGTAGCTAAGCCCAAAGTGAACGTGAAGCCATCTGTGGTTAAAGTTGTTTCATCCCCTAAGTCAGCCCCAAAGCGCAAAGCGATGGAGGTGCACCCTGCAGTCATCGCAGCCGTGAAGCCGCTCAGCGCCAGCAGCGTCCTGCAGGAAAGCCCAGCCAAGAAAGCAGCCGTGGTAAGGAGCAGGTCCAGGGCACTGCCACTCCGTCCTTGTGCTGGGGAGTGGGAAGGTGGAACATGCTAGGCCCCTATATCTGCCTCTGACACTTCTGCCATTTCCTTAGCATTTCAGTTATTTGGGTTGTGACTGTACTTTACACTTAGAAGTTTGTAAAGTCTTAAGACAGGATTTTGATTGTGGATTCTTGGATTCCTTGGCTTGAAGAAAAATAACTGTGACTCAGGAAGGCAGCAAAAGGAAAGGGATATGCTCAAATGAAAAAGCTCAGTCTCTGAATTGCCTTCCTCTTCCTTTTGTAGGCTATTGTCCCACTCCTCTCTGAGGACAGACCAGCCGCTGTGCCTGAGCCAGAAAAACCTAGGGACAGGTGAGACCTTGGAATTCATTTTAACCAAACCCCAGGCCATTAGTACTATGTATTCTTTCTAGAGGACAATACCCATAAATAATATTAAACACTTACAACTTAGACATATATTATAAATCTGCTGAACTTAAAATTAATTATAAAAACATGAAATTCAGGATTGCTTTTCTTATTTGGGGGCCACAGTTTATATTTTGTTGAATTTCTGGTTTTTTAGAGAGAGGTTTTTGCTATCGGGCGCATGTGCTCGCCAGAGAGACAGAAAGCGAGAAATCACCCCCCGGGGGGATGGGCACACCGCAATCCCTTCTCCTCCATTCTCTTCTTGGGATCTTGGGTACACATTCCCAGCTTGATTTTAAGCCACTGGTTCCAGGACTTGAACCGCAGTCAACTACATGGGAGTCCAGCAACATAGCCATTATACTAACTGCTGGTCCCAAATTTCTTTTTTTCTTTTAAATAGAATTATTTTATTTAACTTTATCCATTTATTTATTTATTTTAATTGGATCAGAGAGAGAGAAAAAGTGAGAAAGCAGTCCGCCAGGTCTAGGACTTGAATCACGTTTGGCCATGTGGGAGTCCATCTCTCCTAACCACAGTGCCACCTGCCAGCCCTTTGTTAAATTTCTTAAATTATGAAAATGCTTAGTCCTGAATCGGTGAAGCCATTCCTCCTTTTTCTTTTTTTTTTTAGAGAGGTTTTTGCTATAGGGCTTGTGTGCTCTCCAGAAAGACAGAGAGACAGAAAGTGAGAAATCACCTCCTGGGGGAATGGCCATGCCACAATTCCTTCTCCATTTTCCTCTTGGCATCTTGGGCATGCATGCATGCACCTGGTGTGAGTTTAAGCCACCAGGACCAGGTCTTGAACGGCGTTCGACTACATGGAAGTCTAGCAATGTAGTCATTTCGCCATTTGCTGGTCCCAAAGCCATTCTCTCTTTATATGTATCTTCAGAAACAACTATTTTTCTGATTCGATGTGTTCCTGAGACTAAGGTGGTTTAGTCAGCCATTGAAAAAGCACAATTTTCTAATGATACAATTTTTTTTCCCTCTTACAGTCTTGTGCTGCCTCCAATCCAGTCCTCTTCAGATCCTTCACCCCCTGAAGTATCTGGCCCTTCTTCCTCCCAAATGGCCACAAAAACTCGCCGACTCAGCTCAGCCTCAACAGGAAAGCCCCCACTCTCTATGGAGGATGACTTTGAAAAGTTAATATGGGAGATTTCAGGAGGCAAATTAGAAGCTGAAATTGACCTGGATCCTGGGAAGGATGAAGATGACCTTCTGCTTGAGCTGTCAGAAATGATTGATAGCTGAAGGTGGTAGTGAGAACACTTTAAAAAAAAAAAAAAAAAAGCCAAAAAAACTGGACTTAGTTTCATCTATTATAATATTTACCTGAGATGATCGTTTCTTTAGTCTAGAATTTGCTCCGAATCAGAAGTATACCTCTGAATTACCTGTATGTGTCCTGGATTCCTTGGGGTCAGATTTTTAAACTCCCTTGATAACCATTTTGTCCATTCGATGCCATTGTTTAGCATCTTTGATAAAAAAAAAAAAAAAAAAAAAAGTTCCGTCATCCCCTTCTCTCCACAGAAAAGAGACTGAGAGGGAGATGGAAGTGAAAGGATGCAAGAGAACTCAGTGACTCCTTGAGGTATCTGTCAGTTTTGGCTTTTGTTGTACTCTTTCTTTTATGTATTGTCTTAATGTACTTGATGTTACCTGAATTTGAAATGGATGAAGACAGCTGCTACCATAAAGGACCAAATTTCATGCTACCACTAAACAAACCCCACTCAGTCTGTGTCAAATTGTATGTCTTTTTAAAAGTATTTGGAAATTCAACTAAGCTTTAAAGAGAGCTGAGCAGTCCAGGAAGCCTGTAGTATGGACATAACCCTTTGGAACTAATTTTGATGCTTCTGCTGCTCTGTAAGCCTCTGAAGAGCAATAGCTAATTTATTATTACTGTAATTTTTTTAAGGCTTTAAAGTGCCTCAGGGGTCCCCTGAAACTAATTTTCTATTTTTGGGATTTCCCTGGATTCTTTATAAGAGATGGTGATGTGATCAGAGGAATTCTTTTTTAATATGAAAGTTTTGTCCCTTCTCTTCAATACTTGCCTCTTACTGGCATTGAATTATCACAGGGACAAAAATTGTTTAATTTTTTTTTTTATTTCTAACTCCCAGGAAACTCCTCTTGCCCAGTATTTATTCGGTGCCCTTTCACCACCTGATGGGAACAAAACGAACTCATTCAAGCTGCCAATATGTGTCTATGGACCCTAGCAGTACGCCGAATTGTGCTGGAGCCAGGGATAGAGGGATGCTCTGGGGGTGTATTGTATACCTTCCAGTTTTCTTCATTTCTGAATCGAATGTTTTTTTTTGATGTTGATCTCCTTCATATCACCTCAAGGTTTAGAGTTGTGAAGGAACAAATGTGATGGGGATAATTGTATAGAAAGGAGACACGTTGTACATAATCGAAGGCAGAGGGAAGAAGGACTTGTCCAGTTTGGTGTTTCGCTGTAGTGGCCAGTCGTGTTCCTCATGGGGAGATCTGGCCCACCTGTCATGTTGGCTCCTGAGGAACTGCTGTTGTAAGCGGCTCGTCAAGAGTTGGACGTCATGTCGCCTTGTGGAGAACTGGGAGGAGGAAAAAAGCCACAGGATGGCCCATTCAGTCTTAGGAAGATCTGGATGATTCTGCATAAGCAAAAATGACTTGAAATGTGTATATAGCTCCATCTCTACCAGTCCATCTCCAGCTGACTGAGGGTTGTGTGATGGCCCTTCTCCAAAGCAGGGGTGGAATGTGCTAGTTTCACCACAGAGTTTCTGCTCGTTTTATTTTGGAATCAGCTTATAGATTCCAGGTCCATTTGTATATAACCTTCTTTTGCTTTAAAAATTTTTTTCTTTCATATTTAAAGCACTTGTATTAGTCAGTGATTCATGTTCAGCATTATTTGAACCATTCACCATTACAGAAAGAGAAATGCTTATTTGTGTTCTAAATAAAACTGGTGTAGCAAAGTCTTGACTTTGTGAGTTAAATAGCTTTAGCCTATAGTTCACCTTGACAAGAGACTCCATTCAGAATGTGGTCTTTTTTGTACCCCAATTCCACAGTTGTCACTTGGCCTTAGAAACTTTTCTTTCTTTTTCCTCCAAGAATCATTTTATTTAGGGGCCAGCAGGTGGCGTGGTGGTTAAGGCACTTTTCTCCCACATGGCCGACCATGGTTTTGGTCCTGGACCTGGCAGCTTGCTTTCTCACTTTCCCTCTCTTTCACTGTCACACTTTCTGGTCAAATTAAAAAGTAATAATAATAATAAGAGGGTAAGCAAGTGGCGTGATGGTTAAGGGCACTGGACTCCCACATGGCTGGCTGGGGCTCTAGTCCTGGGCCTGGCAGCTTGCTTTCTCTGCCCCCAATTCTGTCCCTCTCTGGTCAAATTGAAATGAATAAAGTTGAATAAAAATAATTCTTTTTTAAAAAATTATTTTATTGAACTTTATTTTATTTATTTATTTATTTTGATTTAACCAGAGAATAACAGTGAGCGAGAAAGAGGGGAAGTGAGAAGGCAAGCCGCCAGGTCCTGGACTCATCGTGGTCAGCCATGTGGGAGTCAGTGTCCTTAACTACCACACCACATGATAGCCCCAAATAAAAGTAATTCTCTAAATGAAACTGAATATAGAATTCTTTTTTAAAAAGGATTGTTATTTACTTAAAAATAGTAGTAAAAGAATTCCTGGGGACCAGCAGGTAACGTGGTGGCTAAGGTGCTGGACACTCCCACATGGCCAACCACAGTTTGAGTCCTGGTGGCTTGCTTTCTCACTTTTTCTCTGTCTCTTTCTGGTCAAATTAAAATAGATGAATGAACAAATAAAATTAAATTTTTTAAAGAATTACTTCATTTTATTTATTAATTTATTTTTAATTTGACTAGAGGGGGAAGAGAGAGAAAGTGAGAACCAAGCCACAAGGTCTGGAACTTGAACCGTGGTCAGCCATGTGGGAGTCTAGTACTATAACCACTAGTCCATCTGCTGGCTCCATATTTTATTGATTTTTAATCTCAAGATGAATGAATCCTGAAGTTCTGACCTTAACCCTAAATCCTCATGGGTTTTCATGTGGCCAGAACATAGTGTATTTCCATTCTCAACTAGTCCTTGCAACTACCACATTTAAGACATGTTTAATTGTTACAGTCATGGGAACAAAGCTGGATCTATCTGGATATAGAGAGTTTTTTTTCTTTTGCCATAGGACACATGGGCTCACCAGAGGGAGAGACAATAAGAGGAAAGTAAGAAATCATCCCCTGTAGGAGATAACCTCACTGCAACCCCTTCGCTAGGATTCTGGGCATGTACAGACATGAGCCTGGAGTGATTTTTCAGGCCGCCAGGTCCAGGACTCAGACCATGGTGGGCCGTGTGTGAGTCCAGAGCCTTAAACACTAAGCCCCTCTCCCTTTTTTAAATTGCCAGCGTTTACATGCACCCCCTAGAGGGAAGGGAAGAAAGTACCACCCTGATGGGGTGTGTTCATGCTGCAGTCCCTTCATCTTGCTAGGATTTGGGAGACATGTACATATACCCAGCATGTTTTTCTAGCTGCCATGGCTAGGATCAAACTGGTCAGTCATGTTGGATGTGGCTTGCCTTAACTACTGGACTGTGGGACCACCCCTACAAAGAGTATTTGAAGGACTAGCAGACGACATAATGGTTATATTGCTGGACTACCACGTGGTCTACTGTGGTTCAAGTCTTGGACCCGGTGGCTTAAAACTCATGCTGGTCATGTGTGCGTGTGTGCCCAAAATCCGAAGAGGAGAATGGAGAAGGGATTGTGGTGTGGCCATCCTGCCTGGGGGGTGATTTCTTGTTTTCTGTCTCTAATGAGCGCACATGCCTTATATATAGCAAAAGTCTCTCTTATAAAAAAAAGCGTGTGTGTGTGTGTGTGTGTATATATATTTATGTATATACACACACATACACTTGATACTGGGCCAGCCTGTGATGTAACAGTTAAAAGTGGCTAGATATTGGGGGATCAGCAGGTGGCATGGTGGTTAAGACACTGGACACTCCCACATGGCCAGCCATGGTTTGAGTCCTGGACCTGACCAGGTTTGCTTTCTCATTCTCTCTCTCCCTCCCTCCCTCCCTTCCTCCCTCCCTCTCTCTGTCTCTCTCCCTCTCTCTCTTTCTCTCTCTCTCTCTCTCTGGTCAAATTAAAAAAATGAATTAATGGTCCTAACCACCATGCCACCTCCTGATCCCCCAAGATCTAGCCACTTTTAACTATTACATCACAGGCTGGCCCAACATATGTATATGTATATATACACACTATACACACACACGCACTTTTTTTTTTTTTTAAGAGAGACTTGCTATAAGGCACATGCGCTCATCAGAGACAGACAGAAAGCAGGTGGCATGGTGGTTAAGGGCACTGGACTCCCACATGGTCGACTGCAGTTCACATCCTGGACCTATCAGCTTGCTTTCTCATTCTGTCCCTCTCTGATCAAATTAAATAAAAATGAATAAATGAGTAAATAAAGTTACATAATTTTCTAAAATGATGGAATAAAATAATTCATTTTTTTTTAAAAAAAGTGGCTAGATCTCACATGGCCAACTTCCCAGTTTGAATCTGGACTCTGCTTGAGAAACACCATTTGCTTCTGTGTGTGTGTGTGTGTGTGTGTGTGTGTGTGTGTGCCCAAAGTCCCAAAAGGAGAAGGGATTGTGGTCAGCCATGTGGGAGTCTAGTGCTAGACTCCATGTGAGGAATTCTCTCTCAAGCATACTATGAGCAAAAACCCTAAAAACACCAATTCAGAATTCGTATTTTTAAAAGTTAATGTAGGATAGGGACCAGCAGTTAGCATAATGGCTATATCGCTGGACTCCCATGTAGTCGACTACGGTTTGCGTCCCGGACCCGGTGGCTTAAAATTCATACTAGACACGTGTGCGTGCGTTCCCAGGATCCTGAGAGGAGAATGGAGGAGAGGGATTGCGGCGTGGCCATCCCCCTTGGGGGGGGGGGGATTTCTCGCTTTCTGTCTCTCTGTCTCTGTCTGGTGAACACACACGCCCTATAGCAAAAACTTCTCCAAAAAAAGTTAATGTAGGATTCAGAATATTTACTGAGAGGCCTATTCCTAAATTACTTGGCTTTAACTGTTAACATAGAGTCAATAGCAAAAGGCAGTAAATTGGGGGTGGGGTGCGCGCCTGGCCATCCCCCTTGGGGGGGGGGATTTCTCGCTTTCTGTCTCTCTGTCTCTGTCTGGTGAACACACACGCCCTATAGCAAAAACTTCTCCAAAAAAAGTTAATGTAGGATTCAGAATATTTACTGAGAGGCCTATTCCTAAATTACTTGGCTTTAACTGTTAACATAGAGTCAATAGCAAAAGGCAGTAAATTAAAACTTGGTATTGCCTGACCTCAGGTTTTTTGATCTTAGACTCTTAAGTGGTTTATCCTCAAATCAGAGTGAAGCAATGGCCCATAGAGGTAAGAGTAGGCATAAGCCAAAATTTAGATTCCAAAGACAGAGGAGGAATAACGTTTAATAGTAATAATAAAAATTTTGTTTTTTGAATAAATGAGTGAGATAGGAAATTTAGATGATCCAAGAACATGTGAAAGGAACAAAGGAGTTTTTGTTTCTATTTTGCTATAGAGTATGTGCTCACTGAAGAGAGACTGAGAAAGCACCCCCAAGAGGAGGTTTAAGAATTATTTGCTATTATTGTTTTAAAGAATTATTTATTTGTGTGTGTGTTTATTTTTAATTTGACCAGAGGGATAGAGAGAAAATGAAAAAGCAAGCCACCAGGTCCAGGACTCAAACCACAGTCAGCCATGTGGGAGTCCAACACCCTTCACCACCGTGCCACCTGCTGGCTCCCAGGTGGAGAT